CTCTCTCTCTCTCTCTCTCTCTCTCTCTCTCTCTCTCTCTCTCTTTGTCTCTCTCTCTCTTTTTCCCCTCTCTTGGCAAAATGATCAAGAAGCATATGCTTTCTGGAGTTCCTATCATCAAAATTCCAGAAAACACACGGGTTCTCTGGAGAGAGATAAACCAGCTTGGAGTGACCAAATGTCTCGCTAGATCCGATTAATACCTACTTCCTTTCTGCAGTTACGTGTGACCAACTTCCCGAATTCGACATAGTGTTCTCAGAAGAAAACTATGAAGCATCGCAAGAATTGTTTGATTTTGCTGACGTGAACTACTGTCATATTAGAAAGACCTTATCATGCGATCGCGCGGCATCGACAGCTTTACTATTCAAATATACAAGATTTTTTAACGACTCCTACTACCACTGATGACATTTCTCTTTAACATCTCGCTTGATGACTGCAAATTTCCATCATCGTGGATATTCTCTATGATTACTCCAATTGCAAAAACTTCCGGGGCACGGGAGCTGCTGAATTTTCGTCCTATAGCCATATTATGCACTCTATCCAAATCGTTAGAGAGAATAGTCTTTGATCAAATGAATAACTTCTTGGAGTGCAGTGATCAGCTCGATCCCAGGCAAATAGGTTTCCGAAGTGAACTGGGAACGCATGCTGCCATTCTGAGATTCGTGGACCATATACGACAAGGTACTGATGATCGAATGATCGCTGTTGCGCTATTTTTTGATTTCACTAAAGCCTTTGACTGTTTGGACCATTCTATCCTTCTTCACAAACTTGATCGACCGCGTTTCTCGGATAACGTTCTTCGGTGGTTCCATTCTTACTTTCATGATCGTATGCAGGTGGTGAAAGGAAACAATGGAGATCTCTCAGGATGGAGACCAGTGACGATCGAGGTTCCTCAAGGAAATGTGCTTAGACCTCTGATATTCTCTCTGTTCACCAATGACCTACCTTCATGTCTTCAGAGATGCCTCCATTTTCTCTACGCTGACGATCTTTTGATTTACCTCAGGTGCTTTTCACAACTTCTAGAGACTGCCATCCGATGGCTCAACGAGGATATACTGCGCATAGAGAAGTGGTGCGTTCAAGACAACCTTCGACTCAACTCAATGAAGACTAAGGCCATGGTATTTGGTAGTGCCCAATACATAAATAGCTTCGAAATCACCTCATTGCCCAAAACCATCGTTTTCGGTACAGAGATTAAATACGTGCGTTCTATGCGCTACTTTGATGTTACTCTTGACAGCACACTTACATGACAAGCGTACGTCTCTCAGATTCGGAATACATCTTCTTCTACTCTCTATTGGCTTCGTATGAACGACCATCGCCTCAATTTTCGTATGTGGCGTAGGTATATGTATATGTATGTATTATGTATAGGTATGTAGGTAAGGTATATGTATGTATTAGAGGAGAATCGATTAGCAGACTAATGGCGATTGACATTTATGCGTTACTGTGCACTATTTAATTATTATTTAATTATTATTAATCTAATTTAGTATACACTTAGTCAATAATTATTACATAATTAATCCTTTCAATAGGTTCTATGGTAGTAACGATCTTCAATTCTTTTAATCTTTATTCTTTCACTTGTACACGTTTATTTGAATGTTTCTGTTCAATTTATCCTCTAATTTTGTATATTTCAGCACTTTCTTGTATTCAAGCAATCATAAATCTGCTCAATTCCTAATGGCCGTGGAGCTCACACTCGCTTTCCGACTTGCGTCCGATAGCTCTACTCTGCAGCCTCTCTAAACCGCTCGAGAGAATCGTTCACTTGCAGATGGAGGAGTACTTAGACAAGCATGGTGGTTTTGATCTGCATCAATCTGCGCACCGCACTGACACCGGGACTGAAACTGCCGTATATTGAGTATTCGTTGATATACGGTTTGTTGTGGATGAACATATGCTTACGATATTGGTCCTTTTCGATCTGAGCAAAGCGTTCGACTCAGTTTGTCACCGAAGCCTGCTTGAGGTTATGCCCGAAACGGGTTTTCCCATGTCTGTACGGAAATGGTTTGCGTCATATCTCGCAAGCGGTTATTGGTGACGATGGGAATATTTCTTCCTTCCGTCCTGTGACTTCAGGTGTACTGCAAGGTTCAATTTTGGGACCCTCTTTATTTGCTTTATATGTGAAAGATCTGCCTGGCGTTATTACGAACTATTCGCATATAATATATGCTGATGACCTGCATGTCTATCTTCAATACAAACCGCGTGACTTTATGAATGCAATTGAGTGTGTGCAGATGGATTCAAATGCGATCCATGCATGGACTATGAATAAGTGTCTCAGATTTAACTCATCCAAAATACATTGTTTGATTATTGGCTCTTCGAGATTTATCAATGCGATTCATTTAAACCACTTGCCTGTGCTTCGTATTGAGGAGGATGCTCTTCCGTATGTGACACAAATTCGCAGTCTTGGACTAAACATAGATAATATCATGTAAAAAACATACTCTCAATGTTCGCATCATGTTAAATTATCATGTAAAAAATACACTCTCAATGTTCGCAGGCGCGTAAACAGAACGCTTTATGTTCTAAAGCGTAACCGTGCTCTCCTCTCTTCTGACCTGAGGAAATTATTAATTACTTCATTAGTCTTTTCACTGTTTGACTATAGTTATGTTATCTATGGTAGTGGTTCTTCCATACTTTCTTAGAAAATGTAAGTGGAGTTGAACTTTTGCGTGTGTTTTGTCTCTGATGCTAGAAGATGGGAGTACATCACACCCTTTTTCAATCAACTAGGCTGGCTCACATTTGAACAGCGAAGATGTTTTCTTCTTGGGATGCTAGTCTATGAGGTACTTGGAACTGGTTTTCCGACTTACCTCAGAGAAACACTGGCGTATGTGCTCGTGTCTCTTATAACGCACACTACTTGCAAAAATTTGAATGATCTTTATTTTGGAACTCACTATTAGCTGACCTGCGCAATACTACCTGGAGACGTACCTTTCATGAGCGATTACGCACGTTTCCTTTATCGGGACACCTGTAGAATTCACTCCTGTTCTTTGTTTTGATTCTTATACGTTGTAAACACTACGTAGATACATGTACTTCACTGTAAATACTTTGTAAATTCGTGCACTATAAGCTAGTAATATTTTTCTTTCCGTGTTTATATACTGTATTTAATTTTTACTGCTATATACTCCATTACTTTTATTTTTTTATATATATAAACTGTTGTTTACGGTCTACAGGGCTTTGTCTCTCTCTCTCTCTCTCTCTCTCTCTCTCTCTCTCTCTCTCTCTCTCTCTCTCCCTCTCTCCCTCTCTGCCTCTCTCCCTCTCTCCAT